TGATATACGCTTGCTAATTTTACGACGTAGTGTTAACTCTACATTCTCGAGGTACAAGGTGAGATCAGCTTAAATCACTTTTTTAGGCCATATTTTGGGTTTAGCGTTTCCGTTCACATTTATCCTCTGCCCTCTTTGACGTTAAAAACTTATTATTTTAGGACTTAAAACTTTTACCTGACTAAAATGTCTATACGCGCAGGAAAGTTAAAAAACAATAAAATTATCAAGCTGCTTATCCAATATGACAGGTTGCTCCACCGTAATTTTTATGAGAAAGCCATAAGGAATCGTGGTATCATCAAAATGTGTTTGACCTCATGCCCCTTTCTACTATATCAAAACGTCCAAAGCGTACTAAAGTGGAAAAACAAAATTTGCACGCTTTCTTTTCAATCCAATAAAAATAATTAATTATAAGACTTAAAAAAATTAAATTAAAAAGAAAATCAAGCGAACTCGTGTGAGTTTTTCTGTTTGGAAATTTATTTTGACACTATTTCAATCTAACTAAATATCCAAAATCGACATATTTTTCAAAATGTTTCGATTTTTAAAAATACAACATACATATACTTGAGAGTTTGTCTTTAGAAATAATCTGCCCCTGATGCCTTGCCTTTGAGTGTTAGTAGCCCCATAATTTAACATAATTTTAAAGAATATAAGCATAAATATATTTTTATGAGAAAAAGCATAAAGAATCGTGGCAGCATTAAAATATGTTTGACTTAATTACCTCCTTTTGCTAAAACCAAATTTCCACAAGCGACTTGAAGTTGAAAACAAATTTCTTTTCAATCCAATAAAAAATCATTGTTAGACTAAAACAAAATAATTATAATAAATTAAGCGGATACGAAAATCAAGCCACCTCTTGTGAGTTTTTGTGTCGAAAATTTATTGTGACACTATTCCAGTCTAAGAAAATAACAAAAAACGTAACATATTTTTCAAAATATTTCGTTTTTTAAAAATACAACGTTTGAGAATGTTGCCTTAAGAGGTTGTCTTTAGAAATAATCTGAAACCAATGATGCCTTGCTTTTGAGTGTCAGTAGCCCCATAATTGTAAAGAATATAAGCATAAATATATTTTTATGAGAAAAAGCATAACGAATCGTGGCAGCATTAAAATATGTTTAACTTCATTACCTCCTTTTACTAAAACCAAACTTCCACAAGCGACTTGAAGTTGAAAACCAAATTTATCAAGCTCTCTTTGCATTCCAATAAAAAAATCATTCTAAAACTAAAAAAATAATAATAATAAATTAAAGCGGATAGGAATTTAAAACAATATAAATATAAATATATTTTGGTACAATTTTATTTTTGATATAAGGTATTACATAAGATTATGAGTTTTGAAAATTTTGGTCTGTTAAAATGTCTGTTGGCATGATAAATGGCGACCTCTTGTACGATTTAAAACTATAGTATAAGTAAAATAATTAAACATAAATATATTTTTATGAGAAGAGCATAAGGAATCGTGGCAGCATTAAAATATAATTCATTGCCTAGTTTTTATACTCCTAAACCACCACAACCTGTAGTTGAAAAACAAATTTATCAAACTCTCTCTTCAATACAATAAAAATAATTATAAAGCTAAAAAAAGTTATATTAAAGATGATAAGAAAATCAAGCCACCTCTTGTGAGTTTTTGTGTTATGAAAATTTATTTTGACACTATTCCAATCTAACAAAAAAAAACAAAAAAAAACGACATATTTTTTCAAGTAATTCGATTTTGTTTAAATGTCATACAACATGTGCATACTTGACAGTTTATCTTTAGAAATAATCAGTAGCCACTGATACATTCCCTTTGAGTGTTAGTAGCCCCATAATTGAAAAAAAATCTAAGCATTAATATATTTTTATGAGAAAAGCATAAATAATCATGGCAGCATTGAAATGTTTGACTTCATTACCTCCTTTTTCTACCCCAAACGTCCACAAGCGACTTGAAGTCGAAAAACAAAATTGATCAAGTTCATTTTTCAATACAATAAAAGATAATTATAAGACAAAAGAAAATCAAAGCAGATAGGAAAATCAAGCCACCTCTTCTGAGTTTATTTTGTTTGAAATTACTTTGGCACTAGTATGCTTTAAACTTTAACAAAATAACAAAAAAAACGACATATTTTTTCAAATAATTCGATTTTTCGTTAAATATCATACAACATGTTTTACTTGAGAGCTTGTCTTTAGAAATAATCTGTAGGCACTGATGCTTGCCTTTGAGTAGAGGGTTAGTACCCCTAGGTCCCGTTGTCTTTGTTACATAATAACACATAATTTAAAACGATATAAACATAAATATATTTGGGTACATTCATTGACAATGTTATTTTTGATAAATTAAAAGATAGTTTTAAAAGTTTTGGTATGTCAGTATTATTTTTTTCTATTTCCATGATAATTGCGACCTTTTGTACGAATTAAAACTATAGTATAAGTAAAATAATTAAAAATAAATGAATTTTTATGAGAAGAGCATAAGGATTCGTGGCAGCATTAAAATATATTTCATTGCTTCATTTTTCTACACATCAAAAACATTACAAGCGACCAATAGTTGAAAAATAAATTTATCTATACAATAAAAGTAATTATAAGATTAAAGAAAGTTAAATCATTTATTTTTTATTAGTTGATAGGAAAATCAGGCCACCTCTTGTATTACTTTCTGTTTGAAAATTTATTTTGACACAATTGCAATATAACAAAATAACAAAAAAACTACATATTTTTTCAATTAATTCCATTTTGTTTAAATACATGGGTATACTTGAGAGTTTGTCTTTAGAAATAATCAGTAGCCACTGATACCTTGCCTTTGAGTGTTAGTAGCCCCATAATTGAAAAGAATCTAAGCATAAATATATTTTTATGAGGAAAGCATAAAGAATCGTTGCATCATTGAAATGTTTGACTTCAATACCTCTTTTTCTCAAACCAAACTTCCACATATTGAAAAACAAATTTATCAAGTTCATTTTTCAATCCAATAAAAGGTAATTATAAGACTAAAAAAATAAATTAATTAAAGCGGATAGGAAAAGCAAGCCACCTCTTGTGAGTTTTTGAGCTGAAAATTTATTTTGACACTATTCCAATCTAACAAAATTAACAAAAAAAAGATTATTTTTAAGACATTATATTTGAGACAAATTATTTATCAAATAATTCGATTTTTTCAAATATCATACAACATGAGTATACTTGAGAGTTTGTCTTTAGAAATAATCTGTAGCCACTGGTACCTTGCCTGTGAGTGTTTGTAGCCCCATAATTTAACATAATTGAAAAGAATAAAAGCATAAAAAAATCGTGACAGCATTAAAATATGTTTGATTTCATTTGACTGATTCCTTACCTGTGAGTGTTTGTAGCCCCATAATTTAACATAATTGAAAAGAATAAAAGCATAAAAAAATCGTGACAGCAATAAATATGTTTGACTTCATTACCTCATTTTGCTAAAACCAAATTTCCACAAGCGACTTGAAGTTGAAAAACACAATTTCTTTTCAATCCAATAAAAAATCATGTTGAAAAACAAATTTATCAAGTTCATTTTTCAATCCAATACAAGATAGTTATTAGATTATTTATATTTTTATCTCAACCAATACATTTCATAAAGAATAATTAATTGAAAAAAGTTAATTGGTCAATCGAACCACGAACTGTAATGCATAGTTATAAGACTTTAAAAAAAAATCAAAGTAGGTGGGAAAATCAAGCAACCTCTTGTGGGTTTTTGAGATTGAAATTTATTTTGGCACTATTCCAGTTTAACAAAATAACCAAAAAAAACGACATATTTTTTCAAGTAATTAGATTTTGTTTAAATATCATACAACATGTGTATACTTGAGAGTTTGTCTTTAGAAATAATCAGTAGCCACTAATACCTTGCCTTTGAGTGTTAATAGCTCTTTAATTTAACGTAGTTGAAAAGAATATAAGCATAAATGTATTTTTATGAGGGAAGCATAAAGAATCGTAGCAGAATTAAAATATGTTTGAATTCATCACCAAACTTCCACGAGCGACTTGACCTTAACAAAAAAATCTATCAAGCTCTCTTTTCATTCCAATAAAAAATCATTGTAAGGCTAAAAAAATAATAATGATAAATTAAAGCGGATAGAAAAATCAAGCCACCTATTGTGAATTTTTGTGTACAAAATTTATTTTGCACTATTCCAATCTAACAAAATAACCAAAAAACGACATATATTTCAAAATACTTCGATTTTTAAAAATATAACATACTTTATTTGAGAGTTTGCCTTTAAAAATAATCTTTAGCCAATGATGCCTTGCTTTTGAGAGTTAGTAGCCCCGTAATTTAACATAATTGCAAAGAATATAAGCATAAATATATTTTTATGAGAAAAAGCATAAAGAATCGTGGCAGCATTAAAATATGTTTGATTTCATTTGACTGATTCCTTGCCTTTGAGTGTTAGTAGCCCCATAATTTAACATAATTGAAAAGGATATAAGCATAAAGAATCGTGGCAGCATTAAAATATGTTTGACTTCATTACCTCCTTTTTCTACACCAAACTTCCACAAGCGAATTGAAGTTGCAAAACAAATTTAGCTCTCAAGCTCTCTTTTCAAGATTTTGTGTTGAAAATTTATTTTGTCACTATTCCAATCTAACAACATAACCAAAAACGACATATTTTTCAAAATATTTAGATTTTTAAAAATACAACATACGTATACTTGAGAGTTTGTCTTTAGAAATAATTTGCCCTTGATGTCTTGCCTTTGAGTGTTAGTAGCCCCATAATTTAACATAATTGCAAAGAATATAAGCATAAATATATTTTTATGAGAAAAAGCATTAAAATACGTTTGACTTCGTTACCTCCTTTTTCTAAAACCAAACTTCCACAAGCGATTGTTTTTTAAATGTTAAATTTTGTTAAAAAATAAATTTATGAAGCTCTTATTTCAATCCAATAAAAAATAATTATAAGACTAAAGAAATAATAGAAAAATAAAGTCACCTCTTGCGAGATTTTGCGTTGAAAATTTATTTTGATACTATTCCAATCCAACAAAATAGCCAAAAAACGACTAATAATTCAATTTGTTTAAAATTATACATGTGTATAGTTGAGTGTTTGTCTTTAGAAATTAATCAGTAGACACTGAGCCTTTGAATGTAAGTAGCCCCAAATCCGGTTGTTTTTATTGCATAATTAAATTTAATATAATTTAAGCATAAATATATTTTGGTATATTGAAAAATAATGTTATTTTTATATAAGGTATTACATAGGATTATAAATTTTGAGAATGTTATGTCAGAATTGTATTTTCGGTTTTTCAATTAGACCTCTTGTAGGACTTAAAACTTACTACACTAAAACGTTCACTCGCGCACCAAAGTTGAAAAACTATAAAATTAGCATGCTGCCTATCCAATATTACGTGTTTACACCAATATTTGAAAAAATAAAAAAAAATTAAGTCACTACGAAGTCTTCTGGACTTTGTGAAAACTTGGCCGTACAAATAAAAAACGAATGAAAAAATAAATAAAAACGAGCCAACCGGAGAAAAAGGCACAAGAGAACGCCCGGTTGAACAGTGGGCGTTTTAGTGAGCGAGACCGACAGCCATGTGGCTCTGTGCCCACACCACCGCCTCCCCCCACCACATTGGGCGACCAACCCGGCCAACCGGTCCCCCCTTCGCTCCCGGCCAAACCTCGTCCAGATCTCAGGCCGCCAACTTCGTCCGTCCTCGTCTCCACATTCTGCCTACACAGAATCGTCCAACCTCCTGAAAATTGTAAACATGTGCACCGTGAGTACGTCAGTGTATTTAATTTTCGCTTTTTATATATATATATTTTTTTTGTGTTAAAGTTTTCCTTATGTTGTCAAGCTTGTAGAATTGTGGTAATGATTTTATTTTTGTTTTGAGATTGTTATTGTCTTTAGATTTCACATTTCAATTTTTTTTTAATGTTATTAATTTTAATTTTTTTTTCTGAGACTGAATTTTTAATTTATTTTTCTGTGTTTGTTACAAAGAATATATATGTTTTTGTCAATTTGATTTAAATTGTAACGTGAAATTTTGACGTGTGTAATGTAGGTTGACGGGGAAGGTCTTTGACCCCGAGGCACGTGTAGGGAATGTGGAAGGGGATGCTACACGTGTGGGGGGGAGTGGCCGGATGACGTCACGACGGTAGTGGGGACCGGCGCGCCCCAATAGGCGCAGGGTCGTAGTGGGCATGCGCGGCCCCGGGCCCCCCGACGCCTCCCACCGAGCAGCCATTCGTCTCCGAGCATCCGACCAGTCTTCATCCCGCGTCCGCCCGTCAGTGACCACCGTGCCAAGTGTTCAAATCAGTTCATAAAGAAAAAAAAGAATAGTGTTTTGAGTGTTTTCTTCCTGTGACACGAGGATTTCCCGGTGATGTATCGGGGAGAGAATCGGGCTTGACTTTTTCCATTTTCACCATATTCCAGTCAGTCTTTTTCTCTCTCCTATAGATACACCGGGGCCCACTGCGCAACTCTACCGTTATGGATTTCTCAGCCCGAAGGAGTCGCCATCGGACTTTTTAACCCTTTCTGGAATACACTCCAGTCGACACTTCGCCATATTTGGCCTACATTGTGTTTAATTATTTTTCGAGAAAAACTCCTAAAAAGTTATGCAATTTAGTTATTTGTTATTTAATTATAAACAAAAATGTATTGTGAAAGGAGGAGCAATTTTTGCATTCTGTTTCGAAGATTGCGCCATTTTTCTCAAGAGAAAAAAAGGCGGAAATGAAATATAAAACACGGAACAGGAAGTTACATTGCGTAATTCTCATTCAATAAGAACGTTTTTTTTAAATTCTGTAATAAACAAAAGAAAACATTGAATCTAATAGAACAATAAAATTATAGAAAAACTAGGTCTTTTATTAATGTAAGAGAATGATGTAACGTAAAGTTTGGTAAGTATAGGCCCTATTTTCTTAAGATTTTATTATTTTATTTTTTGCAGAAAGATAATGGTGTGTTGAGAAAGTTTTAAAAGTATTTTTTTCTTTTAAGGCCACGTAATGTCAATTGTAGTAATTGACGTTCTACGCCGTTTCAACGGGAGCGTGTCGCCGAAATTGGCAACGCCGCCGCGACGTAGGACGTGCGTGGTGGGGGGCGCCCCTCCCGCATTCCGCATTCGGCCCGCGGAGTGTAATTTTTGCACGCGCTCCTCCTCGCCCCTCGCCATCATCCGCGGGACGAGAGGATCCACGGCCGGTTTGCCAATTCTCCCGCCCGGAGGTGGCAACGGCGCGAGGGGCCCCTTACGCGCTACAAGGTCGAACTGACGAGGTGGAGGGGGAGTTGTATTTTCGCAACGCCATGAATACGACGGCCCAGGGTTTTCAGGGGCGTGGGCTATGCTCTCATAGAAATTTTTTGGAAAAATGTAGATTTGCCTTTATTTATTCTTTGATACATTACATACAAATTTGAAAAGTACACTAAAACATGACGTACAACTATCCTACAAAATTCCTACGTTTAGCAATAGAAAAAAATTCAACAATTATAAGCAGCACACGACACGATTTTTCAACGATCAGGATTTCAAACTTGCGTATTATGACACATTCATACATACTCTTTTTTTCTACTTCTAATTCATCAGTTTAAAAAAAAAGTATTGTTCAAAGATAAGACAATATTAGATGACAAATAGAGAAAAGTAAATAACCTTTTATCATAATTCATGTGCAAAAAGACAAAGAGAACGGACGATTGCATTTTTTTGCTGAAAAATGTTTAATTTCTTTCAGACAGACAACTGACCTGACCAATACACTTCTATAAAACACATTCATTAAAAAGAAAATAAAAAGTTAAAAAACCCAATTTATAGTTGAGCAGCCGTTTTACAATAATTTTACTAATTAATAATGAAAACAATATACATGCTGATTTTTCAACGATCAGTATTTCAAACTTGTATATTATAACGTATACATGCATACATACTTCGTCGTATAATAAGGCAAAGGGAACAAGTCACAACATAAAAGTATTGGTCACAGATAAGAAATCCAATTAATATTAGATGACATATAGAGCAAAAAAAATATATTTTTTATGGTTCTTCAATGTATAAAGACAGACAACTAACCGATACATTTGTGCAAAAACACTCATAAAAAAACCTGCAGCTGACATATTAGATGATATATTAAGGAAAATTGTAAAAACTAAGTGCCAACTGTTATATAAAATTTTCATTAATTATGTTTCATCTTAGGCACATTGGTATACAAAAAATCATGACCCAGCAAAAACACAATTCAAAGGTTTACCAATAGAATAGAAATTCAGCAATTCAAAGAAAAAGCAAATAAGAAAGTATAAATAAAATAATTGCCCAAGATAAGAAATCCAATTAATGTTAGATGACATATACACATTGTCACGGACGTGGGCTATGTGCTCATAGATATATTTTGGAAAATGAGGAAGATTCGCCTATATTTATTCTTTGATACGTTACATAAAAAATTTGCAAATTACTTTAAAACATGACGGACAAACACTACACAACTGTCCTAACGAGCAAACCACACAATTCCTACGTCGAGGAATAGGAAAATAAATTCAACAATTCACGACACGATTTTTCAACGATCAGTGTTTTAAACTTGCATTTTATAACGTATACATTCATACATACTTCGTCGTATAATAAGGCAAAGGGAACAAATCACAATATAAAAGTATTGATCACAGATAAGAAATTCAATTAATATTAGATGACATATTGAGCAAAGTAAAAAAAAAAAAAAAACAATTTTTTATGGTTCTTCAATGTATAAAGACGTCAAAGAGAATAGATGTTTGCAGTTTTTTTTGCTGAAAATGTTTAATTTCTTTCAGACAGACAACTAACCGATACACTTGTGCAAAAACACTCATAATAAAACGTGCAGTTGACATATTAGATGACATATTATGGAAAATTGTAAAAACTATATGCCATCTGTTATTTAAAACTTTCATTAATTATGTTTCATCTTAGACACATTGGTATACAAAAAATCATGACCCAGCAAAAACACAGTTCAAAGGTTTACCAATAGAACAGAAATTCAGCAAATAAAAAAAAAGCAAATAAGAAAGTATAAATAAAATAATTTCTCAAGATAAGAAATCCAATTAATATTAGATGACCATGTTATAACAACCATATTAGATGACCTAACCATCCCCAAAACAAATTTTAAGGGGCGTCAGCTATGCGCTCATAAAAATATTTTGGAAAAAATGACGAAGATTCGCCTGTACTTATACTTCGAAAAAGCCTATGCTTATACATTACATAAAAAATTTGCAAATTACTTTAAAACAAGAAATTTAAAAAAAGAAATCCAGTTAATGTTAGATGACATATACACATTGTCACGGACGTGGGCTATGTGCTCATAGATATATTTTGGCAAATGAGGAAGAATCGCCTGTATTTATTCTTTGATACATTACATAAAAAATTTGCAAATTACTTCAAAACATGACGGACAAACACTACACAACTGTCCTAACGAGCAAGCCATACAATTCCTACGTCGAGGAATAGGAAAATCAAGTCAACAATTAAAACACGCCACGATTTTTCAACGATCAGTTTTTCAAACTTGCATTTTATAACGTATACGTTCATACATACTTCGTCGTATAATAAGGCAAAGGGAACAAGTCACAACATAAAAGTATTGGTCACAGATAAGAAATCCAATTAATATTAGAAATAAAATAATAAAACCTGCAGTTGACATATTAGATGACATATTAAGGAAAATTGTAAAAACTATATGCCATCTGTTATTTAAAACTTTCATTAATTATGTTTCATCTTAGACACATTGGTATCCAAAAAATCATGACCCAGCAAAAACACAATTCAAAGGTTTACCAATAGAATAGAAATTCAGCAATTCAAAGAAAAAGCAAATAAGAAAGTATAAATAAAATAATTGCCCAAGATAAGAAATCCAATTAATGTTAGATGACATATACACATTGTCACGGACGTGGGCTATGTGCTCATAGATATATTTTGGAAAATGAGGAAGATTCGCCTATATTTATTCTTTGATACGTTACATAAAAAATTTGCAAATTACTTTAAAACATGACGGACAAACACTACACAACTGTCCTAACGAGCAAACCACACAATTCCTACGTCGAGGAATAGGAAAATAAATTCAACAATTCACGACACGATTTTTCAACGATCAGTGTTTTAAACTTGCATTTTATAACGTATACATTCATACATACTTCGTCGTATAATAAGGCAAAGGGAACAAGTCACAACATAAAAGTATTGGTCACAGATAAGAAATCCAATTAATATTAGATGACATATAGAGCAAAAAGAATATATTTTTTATGGTTCTTCAATGTATAAAGACGTCAAAGAGAACAGACGTTTGCAGTTTTTTTGATGAAAATGTTTAATTTCTTTCAGACAGACAACTAACCGATACACTTGTTCAAAAACACTCATAAAAAAACCTGCAGTTTAAAATTGACAATAATATTAGATGACATATTAAGGAAAATTGTACAAACTATATCTGTTATATAAAACTTTCATTAATTATGTTTTGTCTTAGACACATCGGTATACAGAAAACTCATGCGTTAACAAAAACCCAATTCAAAGGTCTATCAATAGAATAGAAATTCAGCAAATAAAAAAAAGCAAATAAGAAAGTATAAATAAAATAATTGCTCCAGATAAGAAATCCAATTAATGTTACAAGAGACGTGGGCTATGCAGTCATAGAAATGTTTTGGAAAAATGAAGAAGATTTACCTTTATTTATTCTTTGATACATTACATACAAATTTGAAAAGTACACTAAAACATGACATAAAACTATCCTACACAATTCCTACGTTTAGCAATAGACAAAAAATCAACAATTACAGAAAGCACACGACACGATTTTTCAGCGATCAGGATTTCAAACTTCCGTATTATGAGACATTCATACATGCTTCATTGTATATATAATAAAGCAAAGGGAACAAGGCACAACATAAAAGTATTAGTCACAGATAAGAAATCCAATTAATATTAGATGACGTATATAGTAAAGTAAAGTACAAAAAAAAAAAACCCCTACTTTTTATGGTTCTTCAGTGTAAAAAGAATGGTCGATTCCATTTTTGTTGCTGAAAAATGTTTAATTTCTTTCACTAACAACCAACTAACCGATACACTTGTGTAAAAACACGCATTAAAAAAACATACAGTTTAAAAACACCATTTAGGAGCACATACAATGATACAATTTATAAAATTGACAATAATATTAGATGACATATTAAGGAAAATTGTAAAAACAATATGCCAACTATTGTATATACTTGCGATTTATAACTTGAATTAATTATGTTTCGTCTTAGACACATCGGTATACAGACAACTCATGCGTTAACAAAAACAATTCAAAGGTGTATCGATAGAGTAGAAATTCAGCAACACAAAGAAAAAGCAAATAAGAAAGTATAATTAAAATAATTTCTCAAGATAAGAAATTCAATTAATATTAGATGACCATGTTATAACAACCATATTAGATGACCTAACCATCCCCAAAACAAATTTTAAG